ATACACACACACACACACACACACACACACACACATATACAATATACAATGTTACACAATGGTTAATTCTTGTATTTTGTATAATTGTAGTCCACATTTGTACACAATTCATTCATATGTATGTGTAGCAAGTAACATCTGATCTTCAATTTACTAAGTAAATTGAAAGGTTGAAAGACAAGGTTTTTTTTATAATAGGTAAGAGAAGAATAGGTAAGAGAAGGAATATTCATTTATGTTTTTGAGCTGCCGGTTCCATGTCACAAGTACCAAGCTCAAAAGAATAAACCATGTATCAAATTAATATGTAATTACTTTTTTTCCATAATGTAATAATTTTAGGGCATCACAAAAATCAATGCTTTAATGAAGCTTATTCTCATTGCTTTTCCAATGACACAATGATTGGGACCTGAATTTCCAACGCTATAAAGCACAATATCAAATGACCCCACTGCTTAGATGCAGAAAGTTATAGCACTTCTAGTTGCTGTTGTTAAGTAAGGTTACTATCATGGTGGTTGTTAAGCAAGGATGTTACATAGTTGTCGTTTGTGACCTCCTGTAATGGACTGCATGGGTGAACTTGTGGAAAGAGGAGAAGAGAAGCTGCCTAGGGAACAATCAGACAAGAGGTCTGCAGTCATTGGTGAGTTCCTACTGGTTTGGCTGAACCGGTAATCGTTTGGCAGCCTGGGTCCCTGGAACCGGCAGCGACCCAGGCCCACCACACCCCCGAACCGGCACTCTGGGCAGCACCATAGGCACCACCATCTTGGGTTTTTTTGCTTCTGCGCATGCGTAGAACAATTTTTATTGTACTGTGCATGCACGCCCATGCAAAGTGCCCATGAGCAAACCGGCAGTAGTGATTGCTGGAACCCACCCCTGCTGCAATCTCTTACAAAAAAACAAGGAAGCTCTTCCCCCATTGTACCAAGCAGTTAGTGCCGGTTCGGGGGTGTGGTGGGCCTGGGTCGCTGCCGGTTCCAGGGATCCAGGCTGCCAAAGTAGAGGAATTTGTACTTTCAGACTTACAAGATTCTATTAATCTACTATTAATCATATAATAATGTAGATTTAGTTTATCTTGTCATGTTTCCTATCTGGTTTACCCAGAAAGATTTGCGGTACATCAATCTTACAGATCTGTAAGTGCAAACTTACTTGCCCTCCACTTTTAACAGCTTGCTCCATTTTTCAAAAAACTGTGATTTGTATACTCACTCATGCTATTTTTTTATTTCCTTTTTTCTTCAGGGCACTATAGGATTTGAAGCACATATTGATAAATGCTTGGATCTTGCAGAGTATCTATATAACAAAATTAAGAACAGAGAAGGCTATGAAATGGTGTTTGATGGCAAGGTATGTTTTCAATCATACTTTTGAATAGCAGGTACAGTTTTAGTTGTCCATTGTATTGTGTTGTACAGTGTATAGGTGCAATGATTTTTGAGACTGCACCAATGTGCATACTCTTTCAAGGTATCATGCAAAAATTTTGCTGTTAGAGATTTTCCATCAGTATATTAATAGCACTAGCACTTCGACTTATATACCGCTTTACAGAGCTTTACAGCATTTACCTCTCTAAGCAGTTTACAGAGCCAGCCTATTGCCCCCAACAAACTGGGTCCTCATTTTACCCACCTCAAAAGGATGGAAGGCTGAGTCAACCTTGAGTCTGGTGAGATTCAAATTGCCAAATTGCTGGCAGATGGCAGGTAGCAAAAGTAGCCTGCATTACTGCATTATAACTATTGTGACACCACAGCTAGTATTTGTTTATTATTAATTAACATATTAATACACCTTCAGAAATTTAAGATAGTATACATCGTATTCTATTCTTCGGTTTTACTCTCATAACTCTAAGATATAGTCAAGATAGCAATATGACAATATCAAAGCTTTGGCTTCGTGTGGTATGAAATTTCTGTAATTTCTTAACTACCACTTTAACTACTGTTTAGTTATTGACAGATCTCAAACTTATTCATGAGCAATTGTATCCTGCACAAATTATTGTGCTCAGGTAGCTCTGAGACATGGTACCATAGAAGTACTTGGCAACTATGAGAATGTTTCTCAATTAATCTTCATGCTACAAGGAATCAGTGTTAAGTTCACGGTTACCTATGTCAATACTTATACATGAAAAGGACATGCAAAGTGATTAAAGATAGGTGATCCCCAGAGAAAGGTTGCCAATTTCTTTACTACTGGTTCAGGCGCGCTCCCGCATGCACTTGTGCACATGTGACACTTCTGCACGTGCACAAAAGTGTCCGGGCAGGTGGGTGGAGCCCAGTGGTGGGTTTCAAAAAATTTTGAAACCTACTCTGTGGGTGTGGCCTCCTTTGTGGGAGTGGCTTGCTGGTCATGTGACCTGGTGGGAGTGGCTTGCCGGCCATGCATGTGTTTTCTTTCTTTCTTTCTCTCTCTCTCTCTCTCTCTCTCTCTCTCTCTCTCTCTCTCTCT